TCAGGAGCCCAGGTCCCACTTTAGGTCTCCCGAGTGGGTAGCAGGAGTACGACTGGTGAGCCATCGCCGCTGCCTCCCAGGGTCTACTTTGGCAGGAAGCTGGAATTACGGGCCGGAGATAGGAAACAGTCATCTTTCTTTTTGGAATATATTTAGCAAAGTGGAGAATTTGGGACACAGCCCTGGCTTGGCCTCCGTGTTCAGTTCCTGGATCCTGCCCTACCTGCTCCCCCAGCGAGCGTGCAGCTGAAAACAGTCTTGTCACGCTGTCATTGAAAATATCTCTGCCCCAGCCTCCTGAGCCATCTTCCACATTTTTTTTTTTCAGTTTGTGTATTTGTTTATTTGCTTTTTTTTTTTTTTCCAGTTCATACCTATGAAAGAGTTAAGCTTTGACCTTGGAATTATCTCTCAGCCTGCTGGAGACATTGCAGCCTGGATCTGCAAGCAGCATCTTCATGCCGCGCGGTTGTCAAACGCAGCAAACCCTTACAACGCTGCTACAACACAATCAATCCGACTTCCTCCTTCACCCGTTGTCTTGGAAAAAAAAAATGTCCCTTGTATTTTTTTTTTTTTTTATTCTTCTCCAGGAAGCAATTCTGAGTTCCCCAAGGACTGGCCTGCAGGCTTTGCATTTTTGCTGCCTCTGTCTGTCTAGACTCTGCATTCTTGTTTTGTCCTTTTAGGAGGCCCAGCCTGCCCCGCCTCCCCTCGCTGGGTCATTCATGAACCGTGATCCTGGGGTTCCTTCAAGGGCTGTGTCTGTTGGTTTCTCCTTTTTACCCTTGTAGCTAATAAATAATTTGTAGGGAAAAACTTCAAGACGAAAGCTCCCCGTGTGTCGGCTTAGTACACATGGACAATTTGCCACCAGCTGCTACAGCAGTGACTGGAGACGGTGCTTCTCCAGATTTTTCCATTTGCCCTATCGGTGGTTAGTTAGCGTTGTGTGGAAAAAGAGCTTTCTGCGCTCTCCCGTCTGTGCATGTATGTGTACAGGCAGGGGGTCGGGGTCTGATTGTTTGATCCTTGTTTTGTACAATGGATGATAATCCCTTGCCGTCATGATTTATTGTGACGCTCAGGTTATTTCAGATTTGATCAGCAGATACCGTGTCAGCCCATTGTCTGGTCTGTGACGTATCCGTCCCTCTACGTTGTCTTCCCCAGTGTTTGCTTGCTTGCTCCTGAACACGATCTTTAGGTTCTGACTAGTCATTTTCTGTCCCATCCCTGAAACCAGCCATTTCTGCAGGGTGGCCCGGCTCCCTTCAATGGATGATGGTGTTTAAAAAGCACACCAGGTGCCGGGTATGATAGCCAAGTGGCTAAAATCCTCATCTTGCATCCACTGGGATCCCATATGGACATGTTTGGTTTTTTTTTTTTTTAAGATTTATTTACTTATTGGAAAGTCAGATATACAGAGAGGAGGAGAGACAGAGAGGAAGATCTTCTGTCTGATGATTCACTCCCCAAGTCAGCACAACGGCCGATGCTATGCCGATCCAAAGCCAGGATCCAGGAACCTCTTCCAGGTCTCCCACGTGGGTGCAGCGTCCCAAAGCTTTGGGCCGTCCTCAACTACTTTCCCGGGCTACAGGCAGGGAGCTGGATGGGAAGTGGAGCTGCCGGGATTAGAACCAGTGCTCATATGGGATCCTGGCAGGTGTAAGGCAAGGACTTTAGCCGCTAGGCCACTAACTTTCTTTGCTAGCTGTATTGTGCGTGTGTCTGTCCTCAAATTCTTTCTCTTCTGCTGCTGCCCAGTGAGGATCAGAAGATTTTTATTTGAATATCGCAATTTTTTCCTTGATGATTTTTTGCAGTTTCTATAGTAACGTCATTTGTTAAAAAAAAAAAAGGAAAAAGGAAAGAAAACTTTTGTACAGTTTTCATAAAGATGTTCTATTATAGGAAAATAAGAGAATAAAATTTTTGCTTTTTACAATTTCTCTGGAAATTATGTTTTGTGTGTGATTAGAAATACTATCAAAGAGATTAGGCTATAAGTAAGTTTCCTGAAGAATAATTGATTAGAATTGATCTGCTTCTTTTCTCCCAATGGGCAATCAGATATCCCAGTACAATATTTTAAATTAGTTGGTGCCATATGGGTGCAGGGTCCCAAGGCTTTGGCCTATCCTTTATTGTTTCCTAGGCCTCAGGCAGGGAGTTGGATGGGAAATAAAACAGCTGGAACATGAAGCAGTGGTCCTATGGGATCCCAGCACATGCAAGGTGAGGATTTAGACACTAGGTTACCACTCGAGCCCCCCAACTCATCATTTTAAAATTAATATTCTATCTTTTCTTCCTGTGTCTGCACCTCAGGCTTGGTTATAGATTAAGTGTCTACCTGTTCATGTCTATACCTACAATTTATTCACTTAGACCCTCTGTGTGGGTCTTCAGAAAGTTCAGTAGCCAGAGCTGAGCTGATCGAAAGCCAGGAGCTAGGAGCTACTTCTGGGTCTTCCACACGGGTGCAGGGGCCCAAGGATTTAAGCCGTCCTCTCTTGCCTTCCCAAGCATAAGTATGAAGCTGGATAGGAAGTGAAGCGCCTGGAACCTAAACTGGTGCTCATACGGGATGCCAACCTTCCAGGCAGATTAGCCTACTAGGCCACTGCAGCACACCCACCAAAAACTTTCAACAGTTTAAGGATATCTGTTTTATTTCTAGATTGCTTCAAAGCTTTTCTTTTAAAGCTAATTATAAGGAAATGCTAAATTTTATCATATGCTTTTCTGTTTTTTGAAATGACTAAACAATTTAAATCTTTTCCTTAGGACAATGTGAATTATCTGCATTTTTACTATAAACAAAATCTGCATTTCTAGGACGAACCCTACTGTGTAATAGATTAAATCCTTTTTACATAATTTCATCAGCCTGCCAACATTTAATTTAGAAATTTTGCATGCACTTCATGGGCAAGTTAAACCTATGATCTTCCTTTCTTGTATTTTGACTAATCCAAGTAACAAAATTTGTCTCATTATCCCTTTTTTTTTTAATACCTATGATTTTATTTGAAAGTCAGAGTTACAAAAAAAGGAAGCGATAGGTACCTTCTACCTGCTGGTTCATTCCTAAATGGTCACAATGGCCAGCACTGAGCTGATGAACCAGGAGACAGTTCTGGGTCTCCCCCATGGGTGCAGGGGCCCAAGGACTTGGACCGCCGTCTGCTGCTTTCCTGGGCCACTAGCAGGGAGCTGGATCAGAAATTGCACTGATAGGATTTGAACTGGCACCCACATGGGACGCTGGCATTGTATGAGGCACAAGTCTTCGAACTAGCTCTGAGTTGGCCAAGGAAGAGGCTTCTCACATTTCCAGTTTGAACTCCTCCTAACCTAATCGTCAGCCTAGTTTCTGGTTGGTTGTGGTCCTGCGGGGATTTCTTCACTTTCCCCGCCAAGTTGTCTGAGAAATGGGAATGCTGACGCTACCAACCCCACAGAGCTGATGCTGTGAAGTCCTTGGCGGGGTGCCGGGTGGAGAATTAGCTCTGGGATGCTGACTATGTAGATGTTTCTTGCTGTCTTATGCTGTTTCTATGTGCCTGCTGCAGGACGGCATCTCAGAATGTCAAGCCCAGGGTAGCACTGGACGCGGGAGGATGCTCGCGCTGCCCTGTGTCTTGGACGCATCTGTCTGGGTAGGCAGTTGGGCACTGCACTGTGCTTATGTAATTGTACCTCCCTGAAGCCACACAGAGAACACTTATTTATCTGAAAACACTGTGCCGCTCTGCACCTTTCTACCAATTTCTGTGCAAGCTTATGACTCGGCAGTTTTAAGGAATATGGGTCACCGGCTTCTATCAAAAAAAAAAATAGTGCAGGACAGTTTCATTTTAAAATTTTAACAATTTTCATTTTTTTATTGCCTTAAAACATGGACAGGCAATGAAAATACATTCAAATATCTGGATACTTTTCAATCTGTTTTTTTTATGACTTAATAGGCTTTATGTGAAAGTATTACCAATTCAAAGAAGTTATTATACTTGCTAGTAATTAGCAGTATTTTGATTTTGTTACACGGTTCCTCAGAATTTCTGGGACACTTCGCAACAAGATAGACTAAGATTCTAGAACAGAAGAGGTGACAGCAGCCATTGCACTGTGGCACACTGAGGGTCAGAAGCAGCAAAAACTTTTAACTTTTAGTATGCTTGGAGGAGACTGAAACAAGTAGTCTTCAAATTCCATTCAAAAAACACACTGACCATATTGGAAATGTATCTCAAATATCAAGAGCAAATTTTTTTTAACTTTTTTTTTTAATTTATTTTTATTGGAAAATCAGATTACAGAGAGGAAAGGCAAAGAGAAAGTTCTTCCATCCTCTGGTTCACTCCCCAAGTGACTGCAATGGCCGGAGCTGAGCTGATCCAAAGCCAGAGCCCTCCGCTTCTTCTGGATCTCCCACGCAGATGCGGGACCCCAAGGCTTCGGGCCATCCTCAACTGCTTGTCCCAGGCCACAAGCAGGGAGCTGGATGGGAAGTGGAGCAGCTGGGATTAGAACTGGCGCTCATATAGGATCCTGGTATGTGCAAGATGAGGACTTTAGCCACTAGGCTACTGTGCTGGGTCCCAGAGGAAATATTATTCTCTTTCACTCTCCTCTCTCCACCATCACAAATTCCAGGTGATACAGGCCAGGTGCTGTCCGTGTGGGACGCTTGGCGTGGCACACTTCCTGTGCGTGGAGCACCTGGTTGGAAATGTGGGGACTACAGTCTGCTGGTGTGACTGGTACTTCTGTGGAGGCTGTTCTGTTAGGAACATCTCTGCCCTGTGAGGTTCTCGTGGCTCCCCCTCCCCTCACCCAAAGCAGACACATTCTAGAAACCGTGAGAAACAAAAAAGAGCAGAAAACGTGATCCAGGTATCAATTTCTATCTGGGATTAAAATTCTGGCCTTGAGTCCAAGAATTAAAGGAAATGAAACTTCTGGTTATCAATGATGATTTTTCGTTGTTGTTATTGTTAAAAAGCCCCATAATGCTGCACACCGAGATACCCACTGGCAGTATGTTGGTGTATTTATTTGTATACTCAAAAATATTAATCCTGGATCTGTAAAAATGTGGGTAAGTTTAGAGTTTGATGTGTCCTCTTTTCAATGAATGAAATGGTTCCTAGTCGCTTTTTCTTCCCCTTAAATATTCGGTTGTGCTAATTTATGATTTAATGACTAAAATAAGAAAGATCTTTCACCAAATGGATTTACCATGGTGTAAGAAAATTAAAATACGCGCAACTTCGTAGCTTTTACAGCTTTCCTTTGAATTCGTGTATACTTGTTATTTTGTGTAAAGCCGTAGAAGTTATACAACCAAAAACATCCAGGGCATTGTGACAGCTGCTACTTCTCGGTACACAATGCCACCGGGGTGGAAGATCTGATCACCCCGAGCGCCACGGCCGAGCCAGCAGGTGCCACACTGCGTGCAGCACTGCGCCTGCGCATCAGCCTCCGTGCCGGGGCCCCTTGGGCGGCTTTAGTCACACATGCAGCACTGAAGGGCGGCTTGTGAAATTCACGTGCTCAACTCCCACCAGCTGCAAAACGAAGTTGATGGGCTTGTGGTCCAGCCTGTTCCTGTCGAGGTGCATGAAGTGGATGGTGTTACCTGCAAGAGAACCAAAGGCTCAGGTGCGCGTGTCACACACGAGGGATTCACTTGACGTGTGGCTTACTGGAATCAGGGAAGCTTTTCAACTTTAGACTAGTCCAAAGGGAAAAATGAATTACCTGGGACCCATCATGTTCTCTGTGTAATGCCATAATAATCTCTAATTATGGTAATAAACGATGACAGGGATTATGGTTAAATCAGAGCCACACTTAATGGTTTATGAGATCCAAGAGGAAAGATCCTTAAAGTATGACCTTTTGTTAGAGTTTATTAACTATAAGTAAATAAAATGTCTTGTCAGGCAGGCAGAAATATAGAAGTAACATAAACATTGAGCCAATGAATCACATTTCATAAACATACATAATAATGGAATAAATAACTCACTTCAAAAAACTCATTTCCGGTACTGATTTGATTAGGCCATCTGTACAACATTAAGGTAATCAGTTATAATATACTTAGTTATCTACAATCCTTGGATCTGTTCAAATAAAAAAAATTAATCACTGGGGCTGGGGCCTGGCGCCATAGCCTAGTGGCTAATATTCTCGCCTTGCATGCCCAGGATCCCATATGGGCGCCGATTCGTGTCCTGGCTGCTCCACTTCCCATCCAGCTCCCTGCTTGTGGCCTGGCAAAGTAATTGAGGATGGCCCAAAGCCTTGGGACCCTGTACCCATGTAGGAGACCCAGAAGAAGCTTCTGGATTGGGTTTCAAATTGGCTCAGCACCGACCATTGTGGCTACTTGGGGAGTGAACCAGCGGATGGAAGATCTTTGTCTCTCCTTTGCTTTGTAAATCTGACTTTCCAATAACAATAAATAAATCTTTTTTTTAATCATTGGGGCTGTTGTTGTGATGTAACAGGTAGAGTTACTGGTGCCATATCAGCTTCTTATATGGGTGCCAGTTCAAGTCCGGGCTTTTCCACTCCTGGTCCAGCTTCGTGCTAATGTGGCCTGCACAAGCAGTGGAGGATGGTACAAGTCTTTGAACTTCTGCACCCACATTGGGGACTAGGAGGAAGCTCCTGGCTCCTGCCCTTGGCCCAGTCTTAGCTGGTATGACCATGTGGGAAGCAAACTAGCAGATGGAAGATCTTCTTGTCTCTAACTCTGCCTTTCAAATCAACAGAATCTTCAAACAAAAGCACAGCTTCCTTCCGACCACGTGGTCCTCCACCACGTGAGCAAAGTGGCCTGTGGACATGTTGCTGCCCAGCCTCGGCTTTCCTGGCCTCTTACCTGGACCCACAATGAGGGTTCCGCCTTGCTGGGCTGGGTCGCCTTGGAAATCGAAGAGTGGTCCCGTCACTGCCCGCCACAGGCTCCGGAGGCTGCCCGAGAGGAGGCTGGACTTGATGTGGGGGCTCTGGCCTGAAATACAGAGAACCGTCTAGAGCTGTTACCGTGGCAGGCCTGGCTCCAGGTTTGGAAAAAGAAATCCTTTGGAGTGTCACACGTGGCTTGGCATGTGGCTTCCTCTTTCATTCCCAACACGTCGGCTCAGTGGACTCTGCCCTGCGCAACGCCATGTATGTATGGCATCGCCAAATGCCAATAGCCACACTGTCTCCAGACGCCGCCACGTGTGTGTGTGTGGGGGGGGAGAGACAGGAGTCCCAGGGGAAAAGCCACTGCTCTAAAAGGGAAAGTGATGGGGAATCTGGAGCATTTCTGCCTCAGGCAAAACATAAGCTGCCCAATTCTCTCACCTTCCTAGTGCTTCCTGATTGAATTCCCCGGCTGTTTGGCTTAGTCTCTTACCTAATTGCATCCTTTAAAACATTTTTGTGGCATGTCAGCATTGGCTCAAGTTCCAGCTGCTCCACTTTCAGTTCAGCTCCTTGCTAATGTACCCGGGAGGGCAGCAGCGGAGAGCCCCAAGTATCCCACAAACTTCTCCTAAGCAGCTCCCATTGTTCCTTCCTGTTCCCGGACAAAGGCACGGGATGGAAGAAGCCTGGGTTTGGTTTAAGTGTTTAATGGAACAAAACCTGCTAGGGACAGAACCATGGCTCAGCACGCTATCCCCCAGCCTGTGGTGCCGGCATTCCATAGGGGTGCCAGTCCTAGTCTTGCCTGCTCCGCTTGTGCTTCTGCCAGCTCTCTGTCTATGGCTTAGGAAAGCAGTGGAATATGGCTCAAGCCTTTGGGCCCTGCACCTACGTGGGAGACGTGGAAGAACCTCCTGGTTTCCGGCTCCAGATCAGCTCGGCTCTGGCCGTTGGCAGGCATTAGCGCGTGAGCCAGCAGATGAAAGACCTTTTATCTCTTCTTTTCTCTGTCTGCCTTTCAAATAAAAATAAACAAATCTCGAAAAAGAAAACCTGCTAACCTGCCACTACGTTGCACCTGTTCCCCCCTTGGTCCGTTTCCTTCCTTAGTTCCCTTGGGATGGCACCTTCCCCTCCTCTCCCTCGGAGGGGGGACAGCCTCTGTTCTAGCAGTTAACTTCTCTCTAACCTCTGCCTTTTGTCTTGCTTTCCAGTCTTTTATTTCAATGACTACACAGCCGCTTTTGTCCTGCCTGGTCGCTTCACATTTCCCAATTTCTTTCAACCTCTTCTATTCCATTGATGTTTACAAGGCAGCGAACATTCAACTCACCAAGATAACGGGCTGCGTAGCTTAGGAACACGACTCAAAGAATGAACTTCCGTGTTCCACCGCGTGCTGTGTTTAAAACCCAAGTTCAGAAGTCCAAACTCTGTCCTCGCATGCCAAGAGTGAGGTTCATGCTTTTACGATGTCTGAAGCTCAAGTGGAAGGGGTGCTTAACGCAGTCAACAACGGAACCATGTTTACTATTAAGCATGGACTATACCTGCTGGCTGAAGACTCATTTTTAAAAAAGATTTCATTTTTATTGGAAAGTCAGATATATCGAGGAGGAGAGACAGAGAGGAAGATCTTCCGTCCAATGATTCACTCCCCATGCAGCTGCAAAAGCTGAACTACACTAATCCAAAGTGAGGAACCCGGAGCCTCCTCTGGGTCTCCCACATGGGTGCAGGGTCCCAAGACCTTGGGACATACTCAACTGCTTTCCCAGGCCACAAGCAGCGAGCTTGGTGGGAAGCGAGGCCGCCGGGATTAGAACTGGTGCCCAATGGGATCCCAGTATGTGCAAGGCAAGGGTTTTAGCCACTAGGCTACTGTGCTGGGTCCATAAAAAAACTCACTTAAAAAATCTTTTTATAAATGGATATCATTAATTTTCAACTCCAATGTGTTTCTCCAATTCCTTAATTTTTCAAGTGGGACTATTTGGAGACTAATTACGAGTTTCAAGCGCTTTCCAAGGAGAAATCTCAAACAATTATTTTAGAAGAACTCATTAGGTTCCATTAGGCCTAAGGTCTGGAAGTGTCTCCACTTGGAGCATCAGGCACATCTCTGCTTTGCCATGCAGGTGTGTTCTCTTGCAGGCTGCCATCTTTACTGTGACAGAGAAGGACAAAGTGTTACTAAAGGAAAGTCCGCAGTTTGCATGTCCCAGAGCTCAATCAGACAATATAGACTTAAAGATAGTATAGCAGGCCCTGGCGCAGTAATCTGTTGTCTGAAGTCCTTGCCTTGCATGCGTCAGGATCACATATGGGTGCTGGTTTGTATCCCAGCTGCTCCACTTCCCATCCAGCTCCCTGCTTGTGGCCTCAGGAAAGCAGTTGAGGATGGCCCAAAGCCTTGGGACCCTGCACCTGCGTGGGAGACCCGGAAGAAGCTTTTGATTCCTGGCTGCGTATTGGCTCAGCTCTGGCCATTGTGTCCACTTGGGGAGTGAACCAATGCACAGAAGATCGCTCTGTCTTCCCTTCTCTCTGTAAATCTAACTTTCCCTTAAAAATCAATGCCTTTTCCCCCCCTGAGTCGGACTCCAGATGGCAGGCCGCTTTACTCCAGTGACGGCATGAGGCACGCTGATACTGAGTTCTGACTCAGGGGTTTGTTTTCATTTACAAAATAAGATGTAAAAATGACAACAAAAGTCCAGTTTTTCACTTTCCCCCGTAAACACTGCAGCATCTCTGAAAATCTCGGTCACTACATACAGTTCTCTCTCTAGACCTTTGTGTTGATAAAAATCTTTTTTTGACATCCAACTTGCTTTTTGCATTCAACAGTACTTTGCCGATGGCTTTTTAAGTCATTACACCCGGATCATCAATCTCTAGTCCAGTGTGATCGGACCACTGACAGAAGCATATCTATGAATGAAGCTGTCATTTAGTTTCCTGGGAGACACATATACCTGTATGATGTCATTATATCAACATGAAGACGCACCACCAGCATCTTCTACTTGGGACACACTCTGTCTCACCTGAGGAGGACAATTCTTCACCTCTTTTCATTCCCAGTCGTTTATAAATTTCTCTCTCAGGATCCACGTAGATTTCATGAGAATATCCAGTCAGTTTGCAGAACGGCTGAGGAGAAGGGAAGAGCTGACAATTCATGATAATCTAACCAGCCAATTTAACACACTCAGTGGCTCAAAAGATGTGATCTTTTTTTTTTTTAATATCTGCAATAGATTCAATGGGTTCATTCCCAATCTGCTAGATTTACCTCAATATGATGGTAGGATGACTGTCCGATCACTATAAGCGTGACATCTGCTTCCTGTAGGAGGAAAAAAAAGGGACAATTACGTGTTACTAGGAATTACATAGGTTTTATACAACTTCCCCTAACTCAACTCTGCTTCATTCTAGTACCACTTTTATCCGCCTTTACGCTTCTAGGAGAACGAAACAAGCAACAACGCTCTGCGTCAAATCAAGAAATGCATCTACAATGCTTAATGAATTCAGGTGATCCCCTTCCTATGAAGTTCAAGATCAGTACGGGCACTGAGGTGTAATGGGTGGCTATGTCCCCTGTGATGTGATGTCCCGCTGGGGTGCAAGTCTGAATCCTGGGTATTCAACTTCTGATCCAGCTCCCTGCTGAGATGCCTGGGAAAGCAGCGGGGATGCTCCAGGTGCTCGGGCTGCAGCCACGTGGGAGAGCTAGACAATAGGATTGAACCAAACTGAAAACCTTAGGCAGAGTCAGGAATGAACAACATAAAGAGATCACCCAGGCAATGTGAGAAAATATCCTGAAAACTGTCCGTCTCACAAGGGGTTTATATACAAAAAGTTTGCAGAGTTGTGGCACGGGGCTGAAGTTGATGTTAGCAATTCAAGTACCCTCTGTTCCACTTCTAATCCAGCTCCCTGCCAATGCGCTAGGAAAGCAGCTGAAGCGCTTGGCCCCTGAACCCATGTGGGAGACACGGATGAAGCTCCTGTCTCCTGGGCTCAGCCTGGCCCAGCCCTGGTTGATGTGTCCACCTGTGAACCAACAGATAGAAGATGTCTTTCCATCTGTCTCTCCCTTTCTCTGTAACTCTGAATTTCAAATCAATCCATCAGACTTCAAACAACTTAACAGTGAGAAACCATCTGATTTAAACGTGACTGTTCTACCTGAATAGAGCGCTTTTTAAATTTACTTGAAAGAGCTAGAGGTAGGGGAAAGAAGCCGTGATAGCCACGTGAGGAGTGAACCAGCAGGTGGAAGAACCTTCCTTCTCTCTGGAGGGCCGGGTGCTCTGTCCCTCTCTCTGTCATACTTTCAAGGTGGCACCTGGCGTCCTCAGAACTGATGCTATTCAAGAGCGTGAAGGTTACTAGGCATGTGCGAGGTCATGGAGAAAGGGGAACTTCATGAACCCCTGGTAGGCATTTACACTTTCCCATGAAGCAATTAAAATCAGTACGTCAGAGAGAAATGTGAAGTGTATGGCTGTGTTAGTCATGATGCTTGGACCACTGTTGCTATGGAAGCAACGCAAATGTCCAATAATGGAGGCGTGGATAAAGGACATGCACGCATGCCCCCTGACAGTGGACTCATTGGTGAGGACCATTTCTGTCTGCGGCACTAACTTCAGTCTGTAGCTTCCTGCCAACACAGATCCTGGGGGTAGCAGTGATGGCAAAGGGACCCCTAAGGAGTTGGGTTCCTGTCCCCAACACTGAGACCAGCACCGAGTTCCTGGACCCTGTCAGACACTTAAGTGAGTGAGCATGGGAGAGAGGTGCTCCCTGTACTTCTCCAATTATTAATAAATAAATAAGTAACTAAATGGGCCCCAGCACCCTACTATTTAGTCAAAGGGGATTTTCCTGTCACCTCGTAACAGCACAGGAGATAAGGCGGGAAATGAGCCAGGCACAGGAAGGCAAGCACCCCGTGGTCCCACTCACGCTGCATATGGATCCACAGTAGGATGGATCCACAGTAGGATGGTCTCCCCCCAGGCTGGGTGAAGGAGGGCTGGAAACGAGATGCCACCCAAGGGATGCCAAGTGTACACAGAGGGACTCACTTCAGGGAGCAAGGTGACTCAAGTCCACACCACATATGTCAGAATTACGAAGAGGCTGGAAATGCTTTCACTGCCAACTGTGGGGTGTATGTGAAGTGATGGGTTTGTTGGGTACATTATAAATATCAATCAAACAGAGGCTGGCCTTGTGGTGCAGAGCGTGAACGCACCGCCACAGGCATCAAAAACGGGCACGGCGCCCATCCTGGCTGTGGCGATACCAATGCACCTAGGACTCCTGTACCTACATAAGGCTGGATCAAGTCCCAGGATCCCGTCTGGGGAGTGAACTGGCTCTGACTGTTAAATACATCTTTAAAACGAATATATACATCAAACTAACACATCATAAAAAGACACGATTATTGCCAATGAGAAAATGATGAAAGGACCTGCGGAAGAATCTTAAAATCAAATTTATGAGAAGCAATAATCTTCCATATTCTTCCCACCCCCAAAACACAATTAACAAAAAACAAAAAACAGGAAGTTTAGCTGTTGGCTAACTTCATTCATCACCGCCACAACTTTATTTTCTTTCGGGTCCTGATTGGACAAGCCCGGCTGAAAACAGGTCCTAATTTGATAAAGCCTGCCCCGTGCCTTCATGGAAAAAGCCCCGTTGAAGGCTGAAGAAAGATGCATTCGTGGCCGCCCTAGCAGGTGGACCGTGCGGTCCTTTAGCTAAGGGAACCATGCACCTTTCACGGACGGCATAAGGGACAGCTGTTGCACGGACACCACGGTGCTGTCCTTTGCTTTTGGCGACTGGCATCCAACATCTGACAATGTGCAGGTCACCGTTAAGTGGCGGCAAGGAACAAACGGCAGGTGTCTGCCGGTTCCGCCAAAGTGGCCGGAGGCAACAGGGGCCTTCCTCCACGAGGTGGCCCTGCGCCAGGGGTTCTGCTGCCCACGCCCAGGACACTCACCTGCAGGAAGCTTTTGGGGATTTTGGCCAGATCTTCCACGTATTCCTTGCAGATGTAACACAGGAAATGCTGAAAGCCAACGAGGCGGGAGCGCAAGTTAGCCAGGCGCGCCGGAGGGCCACGCCCGGGCGCGGAGGAGGCCAGGCGGCCCGAGCTGCTGCCCACCCACCCCGGCTCAGCGACCCAGCAGCCTCGGCCCGGGGAAGCTGCGCTCGGGCTGGCCTCAGCACCGCACCGGGCGGCGCGCACCCCCAAAAGCTCCCGCGCGCACCCCGCGATGCGCCCGCCGGTGGCCCGCGCTCACCCGCACGAAGACCACCACGGCCCGCCGCTCCCGGAACAGGGCGCCGAACGGCACCCGCCTCCCGCGCGCGTCGAGCACCGGCAGCTCGGCCACGGCGGCCGCCAGGGGTTGCCCGCGCTCGGGGCCGGTCGGGGTCGCGACCGGGGTTGCCCCGCCGACGATCTGCTGGGTGACCGGGGCGGGTGCGGCCATCGCGCCGGACGTGGGAAGACCGGGACGCGGCGTGGGCGTGAGGGGCGTGGCAGGCGGAGAGGCGTGGCTGCGCGGCCGTGGGACGCTGCGGAGTGGGCGGAGCGCGGAGGTGTGGGCGGGGCCGTGGCGGTGTGGGCGTGGCGTGGCGTGGGCGTCAGAGGACTCAAAGATGGCGCTGGTGGGTGGTTAGTCTCAGAGGTGACCGGAGCACCATCGCCGGGGCTGAGGAGGAAGAGGGGAGTGTTCCGCGGGAGGCACGCCCTCCTCCTCCTCGTGTGTCCACACTGGAGCCCATCTGCTCAGAACGATCAGGAGCACCGATCCACTCGTGTTTATAGCGCAGCCTCAGTGATGGAGCTTTTTTTGAGTTTTTTGAGAGGAAAGGGATTGTGGAGGATGGCCCATGTTCTTGGAGAAGCTCCTGGCATTGGACTGGCCAGCTCTGTGTGTCCACTCGTGTGAAATCACCCATGTGTCTCTCCGCCCATGGGTGCGTGACCGTGTGTGTGTGTGTGTGTGTGTGTGTGTGTGTGTTTTGCCGGGCAGGGTACCAGGACAGCGACAGGAGGCGGAGGTGGGAGGCCTGACTTTGGCTTTTGCAGAATTCCACGTGGACTTGTACCGTGGGACAAGTGGGCGCAGGGAAGTTCAGGAACCCCTGTACCCTTTTTTTTTTCCATACCGTAAAGTTTTAGACTTTTAAGGACATCAACATGCTTCTGTTTTCACACAGCACACTGAGACTAAAGAATGTGTTTATTCCGCTTTCAGCATGTGATTAAAAAAAAAAAAAAAAGCAAGTTAAAAAACAAGAGCTGTTTCAGCGTCTCCTGTCAGAAACCACGTGTGTCCCTGAAGACCTCTGCAGGCCACCACTGGTCCTGGACTGGAGGTGCCCAGGAAGTCCTCGGGGAAGACGAGGTGTTGGCGAATACGAAGGCAGCACCAGACAGTGGAGGCACCTGGCTTCCTGAACTCTCTCACCCGTGCCTCTAACCCACAGTGCCAGGCAGGCTGGTAGCCGGGGGCAGCTTGCCTGTAAAGCCAGGCAGCGGGCTGGATGTACTTGCACACACGGGTGTGCCCCAGGTGCCATGAGCCAGCACGGTGCACACCTGGAGACAAAACAGGGCATGCTTGGTACTTCAGGAAAGCAGAGGGCTTCCCGTTAACGTGTGTGTGCGTGTGTGTGTGTGTGTGAGAGAGAGAGAGAGAGAGAGAACTGGCAGCAGTTCTCAGCGTGACTTCAAGTGCTTCTCTGGGTGAGGCCACATGTTTGCAAATCTGAGTTTTAGTGGTTGGAACAAGCTAGGGCCATGGAGAGAAGCAAATGGGTTTGGAACAGGAAGTGGGCGTAGTGTTCTCCAAACTGATTCCCGGGTTCCAGGAGATGTACAGTGTGAAGGATGAGATAAAATTGCCGGGTAGGCAATCTGGGCATTGTGATTGATGTCTGACCCACTGGGACCGATGACTGCCCCCACACTCAAGAAATATTTACCTAGCGATGTCCTTGTCCCGGACGTTGCGTTGGACACAAGGAAGGTTAAGGGAACTGAGATAGGCTCGAGGCGAGGATCTTGTACAACTGGGGACAGAAGTACAGAACAAACAATTGTGAAGAGCAATAAATATAGCAGTGTGAATCAGGCATAGGCTGGAACATCGGATCAAATGACCCCTTGGATTCATATAACAGGAAGCCCTGACCAGATGGTCGCGTGTGATAAGGCTATTTATTGCCAACCTAACAGGAAATTCAGAGGCAGCAGATTCTAAGTGTGGCATGATCCTGGCATCTTTGCTCCGCTGTTCCCTTTGCCTACTTCTGTGCTGGTGTTGGCTTTGCCCTCACGCTTCTCCCAGCAGTGTCGAGCTGGTTTAGAAAAAATGGAGAAAACCTTCACGCCCAGGGTCCCTGGAAAACTGCTCATTTCCCCAAATCAGCTGAGACTTACCCTGCCCCGGTCCAGTCTCTGGCAAAGAAATTCAATTTCGATGATGCCTTTAAACTGATTATGTCAAGTGTGCACACTGAGAAAGAAACCAGGATGCCAACGTGAGGAGTGATCCATTTCCCAGTGGTGGCATTATCAAAGAACATAAATGCAATAAAGAAACAGAGTCATCGGAGATGAGCTCTGCTGGCGGACACACACAGCCTCAAGGGCGACTGGGCATCCCTCCCTCACCCAACACAGAGCTGCCCTGCCCCGTGCGGGCTGTGCTTAAAAAAAGAAAAGATCTATTTTATGAGTTTGAAAAACAGCATTACACAGAGAGAGAGAGAAAGAGAGAGAGAAAGAGAGAGATCCTCCATCTGCTGGCTCATTTCCCAGATGGCTGCAATGACCAGAGCAGCCTGCCTGCTCCCAGCACATTACTGTGCCAGTGGTGGGCTGCACCACTGGGAGGGCCCTGCCACAGATTTTCTTTCCTTCCTCCCTCCCTTCCTCCATCTCTCCCTCCCTTCCTTCTTTCCTTCCGTTTTCCCTTTTAGATTTACTGATTTTTACTGGAAAAGCAGAGTTAGATTTCCGGAGGGGAGAGACAAAGATCTTCCATCTGCTACTTCACTCCCCAAGTGGCCACAATGACTGCAGTTGATCTGATCTGAAGCCAGGACATTCTTCCGGCACCTATATGGGATGCCAGCACATGCAAGGCAAGGTCTTTAGCTGCTAGGCTATTATGTCAGGCCCAATTTCTTGCTTTTGAAAATATATATTCAGCGCCTGGCGTGATGGTGTAGTGGTTAAGGGCCTCACCTTGCACGCCCGGGATCCCATATGGGTGCCAGTTCTAATCTCAGCAGTCCTGCTTCCTATCCAGCTCCCTGCTTGTGGCCTGGGAAAGCAGTCGAGGACAGCCTAGAGCCTTGGGACCTTGTACCCGCTTGGGAGACCTGGAAGAAGCTCCTGGCTCCTGGCTTTGGATTGGCTCAGATTCAGCCCTTGCGGTTGCTTGGGGAGTGAACCATTGGACGGAAGATCTTCCTCTCTGTCTCTCCTCCTCTCTGTACATCTGCCTTTCCAATTAAAAAAAAAAGTATAAATTTATATATTATTTATTTTTATTAGAAAGGCAGATGTACAGAGAGGAAATACAATAACTGACCTGCTGTCTGCTGGTTCACTCTCCAAGTGACTGCAACAGCCGGGACTGAGCTGATCCGAAGCCAGGAGTCAGGAGCTTCTTCCGGGTCTCCCATGCAGGTTCAGGGCCTCAAGACAGACCTTGAACTGTCCTCCACTGCTTTCTCAGGTCATAAGCAGGGAGCTGGATATGAAGCTTTCTAAAATGCGTATTTGACAGAAGAGATGTAGAGCACGTGCACCAGCTTTCTACTTTAAAAATGCAAAAAAGAAAAAGATACTTAAAAAATACAATTTGTCCATAAATGCCAGATACAATTGTGACTAACTGTAGAATTTGGGATAGTAGTTATGACTAGTTATTAATGTACATTTCTGCTTACTTTGCTTAACATGCTCATGTGCGAATCAAATTATCTCCTTTCCTCTATTTTATACCATCTAGTGAATTAACTTGGGATTGGTGTTGTAGTGAGCTAAGCCACCTTCTGTAATACCAGCCTCCTGGAAGGATGTTTGTTTTGGTCCAGGTCGTTCTGCTCTGATGCAGCTTCCTGCTAAGGCACCTGGGAGAGCAACAAAAGACGGCTCATGTCATTGGACTCCTGGACCCACATGGAAGCCCTGGAGGAAGCTCCTGCACAGGGGGTGGCCCTCCTCTGGTGGTGAGAGCCTTAAGACAAAGATACCTCTCCCTGTTGTTGCCTGGGTACCCTCCCTGCCCTAAGAAATCCACCCCCAGGAGACAGAAATCCAGAGGTGGCTTCCTGCAGGGACAGCTTCCTTAGCTCTGTTTCTCACTCCTGTTTTGGAAACCACAGGATAGCATCAGACCCAGAGCGCCCGGCAGAATTCCAGGAGAGCCTGCCTCTTACCCTGTCTGTAAGAGCCTTGGTCACCCGCGGCCTGTCCAGGACAGGCTTGCTTAGCCTAGGACCCCATGTTTGCTGCGACCAGCTTTTGCTGGCACCAAGTGTGAGCTGGGGTCTTCTGGTCTTGGAAAGACCTTCCTCACCACAGGCCACCTTCAGATCCCCTTTTCAGGGTCTGGGCATGAATGGGCGGAACTGACCACACAGGATGTCGCTGGGTCGTAGCAATCTGACACAGGTGGGCCCCTCTGTGATAGCTGTGACCTGACGCGTCCGAGATAAGAGCTGGGTACACGTTGGCTCAGCTGGGCTGCAACAACATCACCATTTCTGTTCTTTCCTTCTCCTTTCCCCCTAGAAGCCACACGCGTGGAAGAGCAGCACCACCTTGTGGTCAGTATGAAGGTGGCAGTGTCTGGGAAATTTTCAGAAATTCTTCGGTTTGGGGCCTGATCCCCCACTAGGTCTGGGAATACGCTTGGTGAGGCAGCTTGGGGAACTTCCCTGCTGGGTGTTGCTCCTGCTGGCGAGCAGCTAAGTCAGGGCTGGGTGTTGGTCAGTGTAAGGCCCAGTGTGATGGCTCAATGGCTAAATCCTCACCTTGCAAGCACCGGGATCCCATATAGGCACCTGTCAAGGCACTCCAAGCTGGGCCAGTAAGTATAGCCACTAGGCTATCGCACTAGGACTTTTTTTTAATATAATCTTATGCCACATGAAGGCATGGCACTCAAGATTGTTATAGAAATCAGACATTTTATTCTGTTAAGACTTGCAGGAAGTCTATTTGTCAGTCTTTGATGTAACGCATATCACAAGCACCCACATCGCCTTACCTGTCGCACAAGGCCCCATTTTCATGAAAGGAAGACTGGGAAATTAAAACTAGATAAGTGTTAAGAAAAATGAACTCATTCCTGGTGAATACATTGTCATGCTGTGTGGTATGGGAGTTATCTAAGGAAATGTGACTTTAAATATTCAGGACTTCCCACGTTTCTTTGAAACAGAGGTCTTTTTGAATATCACATATCCGATCACATGCCTTTTAAAAAAAAGATTTATTTTTAATCTTATTGGAGAGTCAGATATACAGAAAGGAGGAGAGACAGAGAGGAAGATCTTCCATCTGATGGTTCATTCCCCAAGTGACCACAACAGCCAGAGCTGAGCCAATCCAAAGCCAGGAGCCAGGAGCTCTTCCAGGTCTCCCAAGCAGGTGCAGGTTCCCAAGGCTTTGAGCTGTCCTCTAGTGCTCTCCCAAACCACAAGCAGGGAGCTGGATGGGAAGCGGGGCCACCAGAATTAGAACCGGCGGCCATATGGGATCCCAGCGCGTGCAAGGCGAGGTCTTTAACCACTACACTATTGCCCTGGGGCTAAGCATATGCCTTTTTGACAAACTCTTCCCACTTTGTTTTATATGATTTTTTCTCCTGCAATTATAAATTCTCTCCTGCACTGTGAGGCTTGAACTCTTGGACAATTTATGTACACTCATCACATAGCTTTTCCCAAGAGTATTCTTTAAATAGGGTTGTCATTTTGTGCGGTTTTCCAGTTATGACATCAACAGAGCGTTAACCCTCCCTGAGTCCTGTCATACAAGGCTGACTTTTCATAAAACCCCCTGTATTCACGACATTCGTAAGATTTCTCCCCCCTGTGAATTTTCTCATGTATCCTAAGGTTAGATTTCTGGCCAAAACTTTTCCCACATTTGTTACACCGAAAGGGCCTCTCCCCCGTGTGAGTTCTCTGGTGATCACAAAGAATCGCTTTGCGGACAAAATGTTTACCACATTCGTTGCATTTAAATGGCTTTTCTCCAGTGTGAATTCTCTGATGCACCCGCAGGGTTGATGTCCGGGCGAAAGTTTTCCCACATTCGTGACATTTAAACGGTTTCTCTCCCGTGTGAATTTTCTGATGTTGAATGAGATGGTCTTTTCGCCAAAAGGATTTTCCGCACGCCGTACACTGGTAAGTCTTCTCCCCGCTGTGAGTCCTCTGATGGATTCTTAAGTTGGACTTCTGGCCAAAAGTCTTCCCGCATTCGTGACACTGGAATGACTTCTCCCCGGTGTGAATTCTCTGATGGTCTCTCAGGGTGGACTTCTGAACAAAAGTCTTCCCACACTCGGGACACTCGTAGGGCTTCTCTCCCGTGTGGATCCGCTCATGTCCCCTGAGCGTTGACTTCTGGACGAACGTCTTCCCGCACTCAGCACATTTATAGGGTTTCTCAGCTGTGTGGATTCTGTGATGTGTGCTCAGGTGGGACTTCTGGGAGAACGTTTTCCCGCAATCGTGACATTCAAATGGCTTCTCTCCCGTGTGTGTCCGGTGATGCTGGGCAAGGTGCCCCTTCTGACAGAAGGACTTCCCACACTCATTGCAGCGGTACGCCCTGATGGCAGACCGAGCTTTCGGGCGTGCTTTGTGGGTGGACAGCTGGCAGGACTTCTTATTTTCATGCAGTTCAAAGGACTTATCCCCAGTTTGTGCTTTGTCACTTGGGATCGTGTCCTGAGCTTGAGGAAGGTATAACTTCCTGTTGAGACTAGTTCCATACGCGTTACATTCATACTGATTCATAGTTTTAAGTTTCTTGCATTTCTCCATAGCTGATTTCTCAAACAAGGACTTCCCATCCTGGTTAGGGTCAAAGCGTTGCCCCCGTGCATTGGTTATTTTATGGTCAACGACATTTTTGTCCCTACCCTCCCCAAATTTAACCTTTTCACAAGTTTTTTCCTCTGTGCGAAAACTCTTAGGAGTAATGCAGTCAGTGTTCTCAGAGAAAGACTTTTCAAGTTCATTACATTCAAAAGCTTGTTCCAGTGTCTGAAATATTTGATGCTTGGCAGGATTCTTCTTCTCACGGAGGGCCTCCCTGCTTTTATCACAGTGATAGTATTTCTCTCTGGTTGGAGTTCTGTCAAGCTTAATTTTAAAAGGTAAACTCTCAGCCATATCAGGATGCTCTGTCTTTGAGGTGTAGTTTCCGGGATGAAGGACAAATTCGGAAACGTTCTGGAAATTCACCTGCCATGGGTCACTTGCACAGGCCATTTTGGCTGAATGAGCAGAAGCTGAGCTCAGATCGAACGGCTGGCCCGTCACCTCCTCTCCTGCGGCTGACACGTCCTCACTGATGGCGTCCACTTCCGGCCAGCAGTCATGTCTCAGCTTCTTGTTCTTGCTCTTATCGTCCTTGTCACCGTAGTGTTCTGAAATGAAGAAAAATGAAAAACAAAAACAAACAAAAAACCTTATGAACCTTCTATCTTCAGTAGCGTTTAAAAAATATATATATACATATATAGCTTACACTTTGATTTCTTAAGATTAAATACCCTGGGGCTGGGGCTGTAGTGCGGCAGGCTAATTTGCTGCCTGCAGTGCCCACATCCTGTATGGCTCCCGGTTAGAGTCTGAGTTGCTCCGCTTTTCATCCAGCTCCCTGTTAATGTGCAGGGGAAAGCAGCAGAGGAAGCGCCCTCCGTAGCAGACCCAGAAGCTCGTGGCCTCAGCCTGACCCAGCTCCAGCTGGGAACTAGTGAACAGATATTTCTTTCTCTCTGTCACTTTGCCTTTCAAAATTAAAAATAAATTTTTTTTTAAAGATAAATAATTCACTTCTGTGGATATGAACATGTATACATCCAATCTTCCTACTTAAAAAAAAATAATATTGACGATATGATGCAAATTGGAGTGGAAACTGGTTATGAATACATTAGCTCTATTTGTCATGCAAAAAGAATATCTTCCCAATTGAGCAGAGAAGAAAAAGGATATAAAAATTAAGCATTTTATAGCAATGGCTATTTTAAGAAACAGCAAAATGGGAGAAAAGATTAATATAATGAAGACTATAAACTTGAATAACAAGAGATGTTAGAAAAGAATGGTATTCAGGAAATATACCCAACACAGAAAGGGTAGAAAAAACAAGTCAACAATTTTCCAGAATATTCTGACAAATTTAATTCTGTTCTTCTAGTTTGATATCTATTCTAGCAATTCTTAGACAACAAGTTGATTTAATAAAATCATCAACTTCCTAACCGAATGAATGGATTCGCACCTACACTTCTCCTGATTACAGAAACACAAGGACTACATCAAACGGTTGAAAATCAAATCCACTACAACAGCTAAGACTCACTGGGTCTGTTCAGTCTCCCGACTCACCCGGCTGGCTCCGGCCGAAGAAGTCCTCCTCTGAGAGCCAAGCCTCATCTCCTCGCTCCAACCTGAAGATCACCTCTGGCTTCCAAATGCAGTAACCTGGAGTCAGGGAACACATGAGGGTTAAGGACACCTGGATGGGCCCTAGGTCTGCCAAAGGGGAAGAAAATGCATCCTGAAGGTGCTCCACTGACGTCATCACGTTCTCTCTAGTCCTTTAGATCTTGAAGGAAAAGCCTAAGTCCCATCAAACTCTAGATTCCCGTGTGTTAGAGAGGGAAGGGCTACGTTAGGCTTCCACGCTCACCCAGGGAGACGAGGTGGCTGTAGTTCTCCAGCATCACGTCTCTGTACAGGGTCCTCTGAGCAGGGCTCATGTGCTGCCACTCGTCCCGGCTGAACTCCACGCTCACGTCCTTGAATGACACTGAAGCCTGCAACAGCACATTGCTGTCAACCTGAATGAAGTGACACAGACAATGGCCAAGAAAACAACACTTCAAAAAAAAAATCTATTTGTTTTTATTGGAAAGTCAGATATACAGAGAGAAGGAGATAGATAGATCTTTCATCCATTGATTTACTCCCCCAAGTGGCCTCAAGGGCTGGAGCTGAGCCGATCTGAAGTCAGGAGACAGCAGCCAGCAGCCAGGAACTTCCTCTAGGTCTGCCATGCAAGTGCAGAATCCCAAGGCTTTGGGGGCTGTCCTCCATTCCACTCCGAGGCCACAAGCAGGAAACTGGAGGGAGTACAAATCGTAATGGGCAAAGGCTCTTGGTGATCTTAACGCTGCAAGGATTCAGATGTGGGTTGTCTATGCCAAAACTCATGCTGAGATCTGGTATCTAACTTAAGTGCCAAAAGATGGAGGAACCTTTGGTTAGGTCAAAGGGAACCCATCCTCTTGAATGGATTAATGCAGCCGGAGGGACTGATGAACTCAAAAACTCAGGATTAGGTTGTAAGAAAGTGAATGGGCCGGTTGCGATAGCTTAGTGGTTAAATCCTCACCTTGCATGTACTAGTATCCCATATGGGCACCAGTTTGTGTCCAGCTGCTCTGTTCCCATCCAGCTCCCCGCTTGTGGCCTGGGAAAGTAGTAGAGGATGGAACAAAACCTTGGGACCCTGCAGCCTTGTGAGAAACCAGGAAGAAACTCCTGGCTCCTGGCTTTAGATTGGCTCAGTTCAGCTCTGGCCATTACTGCTGTCTGGGGTGTGAGCCAACAGATGGAGGATCTTTTTCTCTGGGTCTTTGCTTCTCTCTGTGATCTAACTTTCCAATAAAAATAAAGTAAATCTTAAAAAAAAAAAAAACAGGAAAGAAAATGTGGTACCCCCGCTCACTTTCTTACAGGCGTGTCTTTTGTGGGTGCCCACTGTCCTTCTGCCATGAGGCCACCCCCAGAAGTCAAGTAGACCTAATGGACTTCCACCAGGTTCTTGAGCCAAACATAATTTTCTTTATAAATTAGCCAGGCTTTGCTACTGTCACAGCAACAGAAAGTGTCTCATGAGAAACGCCTTGTCGAGTCATCTTCTCTTAAAACGCAGTGATTCCCACGCACTGCCAGGGAAGTCCCACCCCGTTATTCACAAATGCCGCCATCCTCCCGACTTTCCATTTTCGGTCAACCTAGACTTGACCGGTCTGTGTTCTTTCTACCGCAACCTCTGCTTCGTTAGCTGAAAAGTTTTAACAGAAGCCCTTCTAGGGAATTCCGACTTCTCTTTCCACTGTGACAAAACTACCGTGATGGTTCTGAATTTTGTCCACGGCGGTTAACAGAGAAGACGGCCTCTGTCACATTAAGATGCACCAAGTCATTTTCCCTGAATTCAGTGAATTTTCACTCTACAGGGACTCAATGCGGTTTCAGCTTTTGCCATCGAGGCAAAGTCTGCCCGACCCTCTCCATGGGTAGGAGAAACATCGGCGTGACAATCGCAGGTCCGCACTGGCAGATGTGTAACCTCCGAGAGCCTGCATGTCCCCCAGCTCTGCTGCGCTGTTCGCTCTCACGATGACTTGCACATCTTCCGCATTGCTTCTATTTCTAGTTTTTCAAACTAACTTAGGGACCATTAACACAAAGTCTATGGCCAACCAACAACAAAAAGAAAAATAATAAATTCATAGATATTAATCAAGGACTCACCTGATATATGTTCATTTTCTTCTGCTCAGAGAGGAACGTGGACGACTGTGAAGGCCAACCTGGGGGGTAAGGAAGAAGTCGCGAGAGATGCGGACAGCCACGTCATCAACCTTCCTAAAAGCTCCTCTCAGAGTGGGGCGCGGGTGAGGGGGAGACGGCAGGGCAGGGGAAAGGCCTCCAGAAGAAAAATGTTCTTTGAGCCTTAAGGAAGGATAGCCAGCACTCTGATGTACCCACAGCTCTAATACCTCTAAGGATACCGCTAAATGTCTGTGGGAAAATGTAGTTAAGAGCCTGGAGGGATAGCCTAGTGGCTGAGTCCTCACCTTGCATCTGCCGGGATCTCGTGTGGGCACGGTTCGTGTCCTGGATGTTCCACTTCCCATCTAGTTCCATGCCTGTGGCCTGGGAAAGCAGTGGAGGATGGCTCAAGGGACCCTGCACCCACATGGGAGACCTAGAGGAGGTTCCTGGCTCTTGACTTCGGATTGGTTCATCTCCAGCCTTTGTGGCCAGTAGGAGACTGAACCAGCAGATGGAGATGGAGGATCTTTCTCTCTGTACTTCTTTCTGTCTGTATATCTGCCTTTCCAATAAAAGATAAAATAAATCTTTAAAATAATTGAAAGCATGAATTTGGAGGCTGCCATGGTGTGTCACAGGACAATTCTCTTACAGTACTGACATCCTATAGGGGCGCCGGTTCAAGTCCCAGCTGCTCCACTTCCCATCCAGCTTCTTGCTTATGACCTGGGAAGGCAGCAAAAGATGGCTCAAGTCTCTGGGCCCCTGCACCCATGTGAAGACCTGGAACAATCTCCTGGCTCCTGGCTTCTAATTGGCTCAGCTCTAGCCCTTGCAGCCATTTGAGGAGTAAACCATGAATGCAACACCTCTCTGTCTCTCCTTCTCTCTGTAAATCTACTTTTCAAATAAAAATAAATACTCAAACAAAAAGCATGAATTCATTTTGGTGCTACGTTTATTTTTGTGCAAGCATTTTTCTTCTTAATAGATGAAAAAGG